TGGTAATACAGTTTAAAACATTCAGTTCTTGCGTTACAGGTAGGCTTCTAAAAACATGCCTATAGATACAGTCAGAACATACTTTAAGGAAGATTTTTCAAAAGTTTTCAATACTATCTAAATTCTGCTTCCAGACGTCATTTTTAATCACTGTTTTTGTCACAGGAAAAAGCAGTGTCTTTCAGTAAATTACAACGTCCCCAGATTTTAAGCCACAGAAACTAAGTTTTTTGTTTAATGCACACTCACATTTCACAGCCTCGTTTTTATGAAGACTTACAGAAGTTTTAGTCTCACTTTTAAACTGTTACTTTGGACCTGAGCTGTAACATCCCAAAAATAATCAGCTTCCCTTTTCAGCACTGGAAGGCTCTGTGCAGGATACAGAGGGAAAGCGGGAGCCAGAAGGTGATTTTACACGTTTGGAGATTCAATGGACCTCTGAGAGCAAGTTTCAAGTGCCTTTATTTGGCTAATCATCACTGTCGAAAGATTAACTAGCTAATTCTGTACGTTGAAGGCTAGGAAAACTCTTGAAAAATTCCTTTCACCGGTCAGAACTCAACTGTACTGAAAGACTAAGTGTTACTAAGACAGAGGAACTGGCTCTCCAGATCAACTGTCCCTTTACATAAGCAACATAGCTCACCTTCCCACTCTCACCTCCTCTGCTCCCTTCCCTCACAGGAAGCAAATAAGACAACAGCATATTATTAGATCTATTAACTGTTTCTCTCTGCTGTTCTTATTTCAATTTTCTTTGACTTTGGAGAAGAAATCCACTGTTTTCCAGAAGGTTCAGAGACCTGTTACAGATTCACGGTCACAGATACAGTTCTCTACCGCATCCAGCTGCACCTCATCTCTTAGCTCACTTAGATCTATCAAGATGAATCACACAAGTAAGTGAATCCTATACAGGTGCCTCATGGTGCACTTGCAAAGTTGAGAGCCTTACTTGCACAGAGGAACTTGTTGCTTGGACTTTCAGATTCAAAGGATGGAGCCGCTACTACATTTGTCACTTGTTTCTGCAGAGACTAAGGAAGATAGTCATGTTAAGAGTCTCATTTGCACCAGGATAGTTCCTTTCTAAATGCATTTGTATTAAATGACTTTGTTATAGGGAACCTTTCTGGGGAACAAGTCACTAGCAGTCTCAAGTATGGAAGCAACCTAGGTGCCCAAGTTACGTCCAGCAGTAAAGATGACACAGCCTTCTAAATTGCATTAAATATTTAGGGACATAAGCCACTAAGGAAACACACCAATTCTCAAGACACTAATACTATGGAGATAAATGCAGTCTTACATACATAAACTCATAATGCCTTACGTGAGCCAACCTGAAAACAGATTAAAGCATACCTATTAGATTACTGAGAACGAGACAGTGCTCAAAAGCACGCTTCTGTCCTTAAAGTACAAGCACACAGGTGGGGAGAGGTTGGACCAGATGACCTCACTGTGCTTCCTTCCAACCTCACCCATTCTGTGGTTCTGTGGCCAAGCAGGGAAATTCTCTATCATATATCATGCGATTTAATTACCAAATCAGTATTTTTCAAACTTGACTTAACACAAGTTAGACTCAAATGTAACAAAGCTTGAGGGAGAAGCGAAAATTAAACTATTCATTGTTTCATATGCAAAAAATACTTGCTTTTGACCGTGAACTTTTCCTTTTTTTTTTTTTATGGAAAAGGAATGATTTCAAAGTTGCAGAATCTGAAAAATGTTTATCTCAAAGACACTGAGTATTTTAGAAAGGTTAAGCAACCAGCAGCTTCGACAATATATTTAAAATTATTAATTCTGACAAAAGATGCTCATTGCTGTACTTGAGTATTAATAAACTAATTAATTTTACTCTCTTCCCCCAAACCACAGAGGCTACTGTGAGAACCTAGGAATCCTGACAGTTCCTATTTCATTTCGATATATCAAAAGGTTAAGCACAGCCTAAACTACAGAGTCAACAAAGATGCATTGCCATCTTGCATTACTGCAGACAGAAGATAACCACAAGGTCATAAAAATTCTATAGCTCTAAAGCAGCTAGTTACATACAGAATCACATCACAAACTTTTCCAGAGCTATCTATTGTCATCTGAGAATGTCACATGGCCAGGTAAGTCCAGTGCAGACACAACTCACAGGTCTCACATATGAATACACATACTCTCAAGCATCTCCAATCTGGTATATTCCCAAGTCTGAGGTTAACATAAGAAAGAGGTGACTGCATGATGGCCTTTTACTCAGATTGACTTCCTTTATCAGCAGGTCTTGCTTTCCAGTTTTCAAAACACCTTTTTCTGCTCCAGCATTGTCACATACTAAACCCATGCAGTTTCAACATAATATTATGATCTGCTGATACACTCAGATCAAAGATCAATGTCCTATACAGAACAGTCACCATAAAACCCCATTGTCATCAATAAGTGAACTGAAGACCACACAGTGGAAGCAACATTGACACGTTGTGACTAAACCGCATACTGATTTAAGGTCTTTCTAAGCACAAAGCTTTTGACAGGATACCTAAGCTATCATGATCTTTTGTTTCCTAAGGTAACAGTTCAGTAATAGTGTTGGAAAACACTTACACTGGCAAGAAGAAAACATTTTCTGAGACACTTCGATGAAATTCTATCATAAAATGCTTATAGATACACTTGCCTCCCACCCCTCTATTTGAGCTCACAAAGACAGTAAGGAGGAATACATTTATGTAACGAAAATTGTTCTAATTGAGCCTTTTTTCTTCACACACAAAGAATTAAAACCAACAGTGTTAGGCAGTCTCAAATTTAATAGGTTCCTTGGGACCATATCATTAAGTAAAATGAAAAATCCAAATACAGAAGTTTATTTTTTTCAGTGTAATTGACACCTCCCTTTTGGGAAGTGAACAAAGACACACTGTCAAAAGCAGAAAACTGCACAGAATGTTACCATTTGTTCCCCATGAATGCTGAGGTATACTTACTCAATGAAAGAAATTCCACTTCTCTCCTGAGATTTCCTCCCTTTAGCTGAATTTTGTGCCAAGTTCACTCAGTTAAAGATTGGGTTGTGTTAACATGCCGGATACAAGTTCCTGTTAGTCAGCTCTGTTACTCAGTCAAAAATTAAGTGCCAGGTATATAGTAACTTCAATGTTAGAAGAATTAAAATATGATCACTAATAGACCATTATTGGCCCTTACTTTAAACAGTTCAAGCATTGTTTTTAATTGAAAATACTTGGTACATATTTTTGTCTATTATGCAGCCTAATCATGTGCAATTTCTCCTCCAGTTATGTTTTTGGACATGTTAAGGGATCACAGATTTCTAAATTGCTCTGAAATGACTTAAGTTCCTTCAGAAGCTTCAGGTTTTAGGGAAGTAATTTTCAGGTGACAAATTCATCAATATAAGACAAGTATTCTCTAAACTGTGGTCAAAAGAACTTAGGAAGGATAGGGTGACTGACCTACAGGACTCAGGAAGCAGTTTTATATGGGACAGTAAGACAAGACTAGGAATGATCTTAAACCAAGAGGAATATAATTTCAATAAAAAAATGAGAGGGGAAGAAGAACAGAAACTATCTCTTTTGAAATAAAGTATTCCTGGTACTGAAATTCCCATTGTTCCAAGTGGACACCTACATTACAGTAGCAGATATCAATACTCTCAAATATCAGAATAAAACATTATGGTAAACTTTGCAACTGAACCAGACTTGGGTTTAAGTTTTATGAAGAACTGTTAAAGAAAATTCCTGATTTTTTTGCAAAAGTTTCTGTATTTTTTAACAAGAAGATATGCTTTATGAAATGTATAAATACACTTCAGTTTTTCTCCTTTTATCCAAAAATACGCTGGAAAGCTTTTTACTAAAACTTAAATGAATTGGAAAGCCTCCAAACAGCTGTTATGTAAAATTGCTGATCTGTTTTGTTTGGGTTTTTTTTCCTATGAAAATATAATGTATAACTACTGTTTTACATTAAATATTCGACTAATTTTAAATATTACATAGGGTTTTCAATATATTTTTTGAAACAATGATATTAGGGCTATAGGAAATCCTGCAAAATGAACTATGAGGAACCAGGGCACACAGTGTGTTAGTACATAGTAATTGTGGTAAACCAAAGCATAGCAGCATATGTGATCAGATGGACTAGGTATATATAGGCTGCCATCTAATGCTAGCCAACTGCTTAGAAAAGCCACAGCACAGAGCAAAAAATCTTTTGCTCTTCCAAGATTTTCTTCATTTTTATTGCAATAAAGAATAAAAATAGAAGGTAGAGGACAAAACTTTCTTTTGTTTGGGTCAAACTCAGTTAATATTTTATAATCAAAGGAAAAAAAATTGTTTCAAGATGTACAATCGAACCCAAAGAAATGGTAAGCCATAAATATCTTTAACAGAACCATTACAGAATAATATGATCAATTAAAGACTACTGACAAGTATGCTTACTGTCCTATGAAATAGGCACATCACCAAGAAAAAGAAACCATTGTATTAGATAACATCAACCTATTTTATCTACACAAGATGAAACTAGCAAGCAATGAGACATGAATGAATTGTTGGTAAAGCTTATTTTTAAACTCTGACTTGACACTGAATATACTTTACAATACAAATTCTTAAGTTAATTAAATACAGAACATTCAATCAGGTAAATAATTTCAAGACAGAACAGTCACCACTTATGTTTTAAAACATTTAATGCCTTCATTACAGTAAACCAAAAACAAAGTACTACATAAACAATTAAACACCCACTTACACCAAAGTACTATTTTGAAGTTTGTAAAAAGCAGCACAGTAATGCCTTAAGAGATTAGTCTTTGTACTTGATACAGAGCATGCAGCAGAACTACTAGCAAACAGAAGCTGGTTTTCTCGGAACACTAATTAGAAACTCAAGAATGCAAGTCATTAGGGGAGGAAGAAAGATAAATCCTTAAAAAAAGTATGGCTTACCAGACAGACGAGTTTAGTTGTGTCTCAAATGCAGCAGAAGTAAGAAATTTCTGTATGTGTAGACCTTGTTGATTTAGCCCTTTATGAAAGTTTCTCTCGAGAAATTAATTTAATTCGCATGCAAGAGTCTGGAAAAGAAGAAGAGAAAGAGTCTGAGCTGCTGACTGATGTTTTTGTTCTAAGAACATTTGAGCTATTTTCAGCAGCAATGGGCTTGCCTACTATCGAAATGAAAATGCAATACAGAATAAGCAGCCTCCCAACTCAGGCCAAAGAAAATCAGGAAATCCATAGCAAAAAAAATTTGTTCATTGTCCAAATTTTCATTTAAAGAAACAGAAAGCACAGGGAACAAAGACTATTGATGAACAAAAAAAAAAAAAAAAACATGTTAAAAGGAAATCAGGGACCTTGAAGACTATTACCTTTAGTTCAGAAAATGAACCACCATGGATATTTTTTAATGTGAAAATCACCTTTTGAGTCTGTTTTTATCTGAAGATGTTTTGCCTTCTTTACACAAGGGTTCATCTGAGATAGAAGTTCTTCTATTTGCATTTAAGTCCATCATTCACGGACAGAACAAATCAGTTTACCAAGACTGAAGCCAGTAGTTTGTTTCTAGCTTGCATTTTAAGTTTTCAGTTTCAGTAACAGTGCTATATGGGAAGCTTATTGACCTGAAGCTGCTGTCACTCCATTTTTTTCTGCCAGAGCCATTCAGTGACATAAGTATCTCCCCGCCCTCCTCTGTCACATCGCTAACCAATCAGCTTACCCTCCCTTAGTGTAAAAATACTGGGAAACAGAAAGCATCAATACAAATTAATGACTCTAGGAAAAGACCCAAAACATCCTGATGGGTACATAAAGGCTAATTGCTTTGCAGTTTAAGACAACACAGATAAAATAAGTCAGTGGAAAATCACCAGGTTATTTAATTTTTTGCAGCTCCTTCTGGTGAAAGAAGAAGTTTCCAAGAAATCCCCCTATATAACTTTCCTCTAGATATCTCAGCAATTCTGACAAGCACAACTTCCATTTGCTTCATCAGAAAAACTTCTCATACATCATCACACTGTTAGGCACTGCCACTGAAAATCTCATTACTTCTGTTCAAGGAAAAATTATGAGACTTAGACTTACTCTTTGCTCAAAACCTAAAACAGGTTGGTGTGGCAAGATTACAAAATGTTTCAATATCTGTTACATTTCCAATCAATTCTACTTAAGCACACTCATTTGGAAACATTTTAAAACACTATGGGTCACCCTATTTTCTGTTCTATTTGTGAACAGTAGACATTTGGAAGTTACAGTGACACATCAAACAGGATGCCAGACACACAGGCTATTTAGTAAACTATTAAAAGAGTAAAGTAAAGCTCATTGTTACAAACAAACACAAAAAACATACTTTTTTTTTTTTGTGAAGACTCCCATAAAAATCATTAGTTATGAAACATTTATAACAATAATGAAAAAGCTGCTGAGTGTGAAAATATAGCACAAATTCTTTCTGGGTTAGCTCAAAAGCATCCTTTCCATTTGATCTCAGCTATTTTTAGTGTTATTGCAGTTAAGAGCAGCTACAACAAACCCCACAAACTCTAAATACCAACTTGTTAAATTAATCATTATTGTTGCTTCATTCCAACTCTCTAGTTTAAGACCACCATTTTACTGCAAAACTAGTTCAGAGAAGTTAAACTAGTTCACTTTATATTTAATTCGAGGTTCATGAACAAAGAGATTTAAGGACTCCAATAGCTTAAATTTCAGATAATGTGTGAGTTCTAGCTAGCTTGAGAGCTATAATGGACAGGTGAAACATGCAGTATAGTTTGCAAATACATAAAGACCTGTGGTTACAAGCTAAATCAACAAATATCCACATGTCAATTACTAATACTACACAAATACAAAACTAGAATGTGTTAAAATAATTATTAGCAGTACCAATTTACCACTGAAATAATATAACACACAATGCTTTGCAGTGCAGTATTTCTTTTCTGAGGCTTCTTCTCAGAAAGCAGATTTACCATTAGCTGATTCGACATCAGCACTTAACCCATTTTGGTACCTTATTTCTTCATGCACTCCCTGCAACTCTATTTGTGCAAATTACTGTTTACCAATTAGTATTTATAGCATTTACATAAGCACTATTTCAGTATATACTAAGATAAGCTTTAACTACTGGATCGGATCACCTTTATTAGATGCCAGAAATATCATATATACCATCTAGGTCTCAAAGAGAAATATATCTGTATGCTAATTACTAAAACAAATTAATATGTCACTACCACCAAGACTGTCACCTTATGCTTTTCAGAGACTGACAAAAATCTCTTTCCTTTTATGGATATCAGCAACATTAAAATCAAGAATATAATTTCTTTAGTGGCCCACTGCAGTGCGATTTCATCAATTGCTGGTATTGAACAATTCAAACATGATATAGAAGTGTACAGTTCACAATGCTAATGCAGGTACTTGGTTGCAGGTCTCCGGAAGCTCCATGACCACACACTATGGCACAGAGATTCTCATAAACCAGAAGAAAAGGTCTTCATAGATAAGAGATACCAAAAATTGTTTAAAATACTGATAGACAAGAGAGTTGCATACCTGCTTCACTGTACAGGTTCATATAAAGGAAATCTCACCTTTTCTAAATCTAACCTTTCAAACACAGTTGAGTCACTGAAGCTTCAGAGGGAATGGCTGAAGAAGAATCCTCTGTTTGAGAAGTCTCTCTGTACATTTCCAGATAAATATTGCACAGCCTGGTATAATGACTGTTTTCTCCTTGTATTATTCTATTCATATATTTCAATAGTAGTGCAATACCTTCTACTAATACGATAATATGTCTAAATGAATTGCACATTACCTGCCTCAGAAAGAAACAAGGAGTATGGACAAGATTTCTCTCATTTTTTTTTCCAAATAACCATATTTCTTGAATTTCAACAGAACTAGGACAGATAACATTAAATGAATTTAACATAGGAGAATAGAAGTACAATGCATGCACTCTGCATTTGCAGAAGTTTCTCTTGAGACCACTTCAATCTCTGAAATTAGTATTTTAGAGATTACAGATAAAAACTATATACAAAAGGAAAGCTATCAGTCACGTTTTGTCCCAGACTTCAGCTAGCCTTGCAAATGTCTTAGACATATATGAACTTGAAGGATCTTACAAATAAGACATTTTTTCAATGATCTTACAAATAAGACATTTTTTCAATGTCCGAAGTGTGCTTTCAGTAGCTTCCACTGTTGAAAAGCAATGTAGCTATGAAAAAGTGTGGCCATTCTCCTGGACATGATGGAATACCTTGTTACACATATGTCATATACAGCATTACTTGTGGTGGTTCCTACATAATGTAACATAAAAAAACCCACACATGAATGCATGTGCTAACTGAATCTAGTGCCAGGAATGCCTATATTCAAACAAATGCATCATATTCCTATAAAGTCAAAGGATGAAAATAAGTGGGAAAAGATTAACCTCCAGCAACATCAGTTTAATTTCTAGAGTTCACACAGATGTTAGCATTTAAAGTTTGGCATCATCAAATGAGTTGTAATCAGCTTTCGCTCATGCTCAGTATGAATATGCTCAGGAATTAAAGGGTGACAATGGTCACAAGTTGGCCAGAACATGTACCTGAACAGTCTGTTTCTTGAGAATTGGATTAAGGTTCATTAGTCAACATCTCATTTAGAACACTTCTGGTCTATTTCACTCATATCTGACACAAGATATTTATAATTATCATAAAACTACTAAAAGGTTATTTATGGATGGCCAGTTTATACTTTTTCTCCTACTTAATTTATTAGGAACAATCATGTGCTAGCACAGGAAACTTGGTATAAATTTCTCATCAATAATTTCTCACCATTTTTATTTATAAACTTCTTCAAAAAATTACAATAAAAAATATGTCAGCTTCTTTCTCCTATTCCCAAATTTCTAGTGCCTTGTAACCATAATGGCTTCTTAAATTCTCACTAGATCACTATGCACTGATCAAAAGTCATGATAAACTTCCATTAACTACAATAATCAAGACCTGACTGAGGACTAAAAGACAGGAAACTTTTAGGCAGGAAAGGACTGCAGACAGCTGTCTTCTACATCAACAGTTCTTGCCCCTTTCCCTATAATTACATGCACTTGGCATCCTAGCCAGGTTACTTCTCAGTACATCTTGATGCCCAATATTGTCATGCATACCTCAGCCTCCTGTTATGGCAGTAGCTTAAGAACTGTCATATTAGAACAACAGCACATGTAACAATGACTACAAATGCACATGCAGTTTTCTTTAGTTACATATGTATAAAAAGGTAGTTTGAAAATTTTCTAGACCATCATATAAAATAGAACTCCTAACAAATCCTCAACATTAAAACCCCCATATAAACAACAAATTCTGAATTTCGTTCTCTACTACATTTTCATTAGAGCTACACATCAAAGAGGTGGATCATCTATTGAAAAATAAACTGACTTAAGCTTTCAGAACATAGGATTCAACATTTCAAAAAAGAATATGTAGGTAATCAAGTTACTGTGATAGTTACATTTAACACTTTCCTAACCCTAAAGAAAATAACTTACCTCAATAGTGATTACGTTAAAAGAGTTCAAAGATTCTCCAAAGTGACTACAAAGTCTTGCTCTTACAACCTATCTGTCCAAGCACCCCTGGCATTAGAGTCAACAGTCAAGACATTTCAAGAAGTGGGAAATTATCTACAAGCTTTGGGGACAATAAATTACAACCTACGTGAACAGTACAGAAGTGACACCTACAACATTTATCACTGCTTTGTGGTTTCAGAATTCCCACACTGAAACTATGGTTAGAGAATTCTCATCTTTAACAAAACTTTCAAAGGACAGTGAAGTTTGCTTAAGTTCATACTCTGGAATTCTTTTCTTTTTTTCTTTTATTGCTCTGTTAGCCCATTGGTTTTACGTCTAAGAAATTCTGTTCTCCAGTATCTCAGTGTCTCACAAAATAACTCTCCACATTAGAAAACTGGAGTGCTCCATCCTGACTAAAGAGGGTTTTTCCACAATTTCCTTCAAATT